AGGTAAATGATTAGGAGAGGATAAAGAGGAGAACAAAGATTTGTTACCGGTAATATGATCGAGTGGCTCCTGAATCAAAAACCCAAGGACCAGGAGAAAATGATTGGGTCGGACCAGCAAAATATGTATTTGTATGTGTGACGGATATAGTGGAACTAAAAGACTTGTTGATCCTTATACCATTCGAGAAATTTGTTGAACATAGCAGACATGTCGGATGCAACAGAAGAAGGAAGATCCCCTGCAGATAAAGGTGGGGAAAGATTTGTCTGAACAACTACAGCAGACTGAGGAGGACGACCATGTAATGTATAACACTTGTTAATCTTGTGACCTAGCTTGCCACAATGTTCACACTTAGGACGCCCTTTTTCCTGTTTGCGAGGGCGAGCCCGGTCATCACGATGGGATGTCAACACAAAAGAATCGTTAACAAAATTGGAAATAGTGGAAGAAGTCATGAAGAGCGGGAGAACAAACCCTAAAACAATCCAAAGTAATCCAATTAACCCACAAAGCACAAATCCAAAATGAGAATACTAAAAATAAGTTCACCAAGACTAAACGGTGCAGGAGACAATGGGACGACCAACTCCGATAGTAGTGATCTCAATGGCACGGTGGTCACTTGACCGAGACAAGCAAAATCATATGTCACGGGTAAAAAAAAATTGAAACTCCGGCGAATTCTCCGACAGCGGCGGACCCGGTGACTGCTCCAGCGGTAGCGGTGACAATAACGTGAACTAGTACACCAGGTAAGTTCCCAGGAAAGAGAGGTAGGTCACTAATGGACACACTTAAATACCAAGTCTTTCCTTGCCGAACTTTTCTAAACATGCACTTTCACACTACCAAATAAAATTCAATGACAAAGATAATTTTTTTCGATGTGGAGGATCGGTTACCGACGACGGTGGGGCGGCTCTAGCGACGGTGGGCGGCTCCAACAGTGGACAAAAGGCGGAAAAAAAAAATTCAAGATAACCTTAAGCTCTAGATACCATGTTGAATATAGAGAAAATAGGGTTTGGAATTAATTTCCCTTGTGTATAAATCACACATAGGGTGGTCTATTTATAGTAGAGAGATACAACTAAAAGAGTAACTGAAAGTAACAGAATAAACAGAAGATATTGTTTGATATTGTGGTTACCAATATCTAACAATATCTTAACAATATCAAATAATATCTAAACAATATCTAACAGGTAGTATGCTTTTAGTTTTTTTTTTCAAAAAAAAAATTGATTATTTACATAAATATATTAAGATGTTGATGACTTCTCCGACCAATATATTGACTACTTGACTACATATTGATCAATTGACTAATTAACACAAATACAATTAGATTGATCAATATATTAGTTTTCCTCGTATTGTGTATCATATCGATGAAAAATAATTATAATATTAGTTTCATATAAATATTATTATATAAAATAAAATAAAATAAATTATGTACTTATTGATGAAATTTTTTAGGATTTTATGTATGTGTATTTATGATATATCATGTAGGTATATTTTTATTCATGTACTCTATGTATATATAGAGTAAAAGATAATAAAGTAATATTTCCAACACTTATTTTGTTGTTTGAATCTTCCTCTTGAATAAATGAAATATATGTAATAGTATGCTTGAAATACCATATCATATATATTTTCATGTAAATGGTTATTCTTGTGGAACTCATTTCCTTGAATTAAGCGATTACGACGATCGTTCCATATAGTAATACAAGTTTCATGATATTACAACCAAAATCTATGAGTTCTACCTCTCATGTCTTCTTTATGGAGCTTGTGCATATTGTTGGGGTCTTCTAAAATTGGTTAGTGAAGGTCAAATTCTCATAATCTGATAGATTGGATGAGGCTCAACAAATACAAAATATATCATTGGAACTATAACACGGTTGATAAGAGAAATTTCAACATTTATTAATTGTTGTAGTTCAGATCGATGATAAGTAGTCCACAAAAACTATATTATTATATAAGACATGTAAATATAGAATAATTATGATTTAAAGAATATAAATTGATTTTTTTAGAAACACACAGAGTTGCAATAAGTGAATTATCTCATTTGGTTTTAATTAATCAAATATTAAATATAATGCATGTAGGATATATGTGATGACATTTGACTTTTGACCAGGTCATTACCACCTATTGTATACAGAAAATTATTAAAAATTTGAAAATAAATTTAAAAAAAGTAATGTTAAATAAACTTCAATTTAAATTTAAAATATCTTTTGTCAATAGAAAACCATAGCTAAATATAATCTCTACATTTATTAAGTTTTTTACTATAAGAGAGATGTATGTTATATGGTCTCATGCTCTCCTGAAATAAACATGCAACTTCCAATGTTATCTTGATGGTAATCAATCCCATAATTCAATGCTTTATATATAGACATGTCAAGATAGTTTATTTCTAACTATAATGTGAAACTACAATTAAATTTTGCTATAATAGGTGATACATTAAATGTATGCTAGATGCCGATTTATCAGACATTAATAAGCCCTTTATTATTATTACTATCAATATGTGTGCTCTTGTATAATGTGCCACAACATTATTGTCTGTATCATCAAGAAATTGTTGAAATGAAGTGTTTATTCAATAAATTTTGATTGTAGTCCCTATAGCAACATGCTGAAGTGGAAATGAACATCATAAAGATGCAAAATACTATCAAATCTCTACTCGTGACACATGTAACCGGTAGTCCATTAACGGGAAGACCTAGTTATAAGACTACATATTCTAAAGTTATTGTGGTTTCTCCAATGAAAAAAATGAAATATGTGGGTTTATGTCCTCCACCTTTCAACTAATATTGTTATCAAATAATGATTCACATCAACAATTGCAATAGTTATCACCTATCCAAATCTTATTTTCTATATCAAATGTTTAACACAATCATCCAACATATTTGCATGTTTTGTTATCTACATACTACATAGCCTAAAACAAAATAATCTTTCATTCCCTTCATATAATGTATTTGTTACGTGTTTGTCCAAGAAGTATAATAAGGATATATATGAGGGATAAAAGAAGATTACAATTTTCGGATTCCATTTCTACTGTTCATAGGTGAGAAACACAAATAAATGAGACATAAATTAAAAACACAAAAAAGACATAAATAAAATAGTCAAATTAAATGGACAATTAACACAATTAAATAAAAAATAATTAATTTTTAAATAATATATTTATATAAATAATCAAATATTTTTATTTTAAATAAATAAGTTAAAGTCATATTGGGTAGTAAGACTTTAGTTAAAATAAAAAAAAAAAATTGTGCTACACAAATTCAAAAGAAAAAAAATATATATAAACAAGAATCAAATAAGATTACACGATTTCTTCGTTAATATACGGAACTCGTCTCATGTAACACTAATTTCTTCCTTATGAAATTGTGTATCCAAATTTTGGATTTTGTTTTACTCGTATAAGAAAAAAAAAATTATAAACTACGTACCTGCACTCGAGCTTAATATTATACAATCTTATATCTATGGTTAGTCATGCATATATTCAAATAGATTAAAAGCGTCCCTGATATTATATCATCAATATCTACTTGATCTCACTAACACTAACAATCTTCTAACTAACTACTGTAAGAACCAATCTTTTACAACTTTCTAAAAATCTTTTAAGCACCAACACCTAGTTTTATACTTAACTGAGAAGGGTTCAAAATTTTCAACACTTTAACCAATGGTCACAATTAAATCTATTTTTTGTGACTCAAGTTTTCACTTCAAAGTTAAGGTTTTTTTATGTGTAATAATAGTGTGAAAAAATCACTAGCGGTTAGTATCTAACATATTGCATGGAATTTTTAAAAAAATCAGCAAGAACTAAGAAGGCATCAATTAAAAGAGTAAACATATTTAAAATTAAAAGAGACATAAGTAGCTCGATCAATTTGAATTGAAAATGAAGAGATTAAAAAATATTTAAAATAACACAGGTTAGGTGTGAAATTACTCTTTTTGGAGAGTGCTAAGACTATTCTGTATAAACCTCTGTTTAGCCCAAATTCAAACATATGCACTATTATTCACCAATAACGTAGTTTAGTCACACTGAGGGTAAAATTTAGTTTTTCATATAATTTGTAGAGTGTACCATAAAAGGTTCCCTATTGAAACAACTGCATGCTGATTTTGCACTGGTATGGTTATCAGATCTTGTCTGTCTGTCTCTCACTTTCTCTACCTATGTTATGAACTTTTTTTTGGTGAAAAGGACTCCAAAAATCTTTGTTTTTCAACTATCCTTTTGAGGGTTAGAATAGCTCAATCAAAATGACAATAGCATACAGCATAAACAAATTTTATTAGGAGGTTCTTATGTAAAGTTTATGTTGTTTAAAAAATTGTAAGCCGAATCTACTATTTATATAACAATTATAGCTAAACTATAACTTTTATAATACATCCCTGAAAGCTAAGATTTCAACTCATTATATAAGAAGTATAAATTTGCATCAGCCTAGGTAATGGCTGTTATGCAGTCAAAAATGTCTGCAAATCACGGGATGTATATGGAGGCTTCCACTCCACCAGACATTGGCTGACCCTACTAAAAAAATCATTAGTTGCTTTATGCAAACTTTTATAATGGTTGATATGATTAATTTATGTAAAAAACAAGACATTAGTTAACTTATCTGTTATTGTTGGTAGCAGTTGGCCTTGTTTTCTTGTGTTGGAAAAGAAGCTCAACAACATTGCACCATTGTCAACTCTTCTGACTCTATCTATCTCCCTCCGTGGAGTAGTTAGAACCTAATTTTGTCTCTACTCATTCCATATATTGGCTTGTTTGTAACATGTGCCACTAATTAAGGTAGTGAAAGCAATCATGCACATGTTATGATACTAGAAACATTGAATTTATATTTTCCTTTCTGATAACGGGTTTGTTAAATTGTTTCTCTGGCAAGATGTTTAGTGTCATTAGAAGGAAACTCCGGCACCTTTATTCAAGGATATTGTGGCTACTATGGAAGCGCCCCAGGTCTAAAGTTGTTATCAAAAGGTTTAGAAAATTGAACTTTAAGGGTCAACTTAGAGCAGAATTGAGTAAAAATAAATCTAGAAGTGACTCAAATGGCCTCTTGGTTGAGTCTGAATCTGGAAGGCCTATTAGGATTGCTACATTCAATGTTGCCATGTTTTCACTTGCACCTGCTGTTTCAGAATTTGATGAATGGATTGTCTCCAATCATGAGCATGGATCTAACAAGAAGAATCTCACAAAAGGTGATTTTCCCAAGAGTATACTAAAGCAATCTCCATTGCATGCCTCTATGAACAAAGCTCAGAATCTTTCTGACTCCAAGATCCTGCCACGTTCAAATTTGAAGGTTTCTATTAATCTTCCTGACAATGAGATTTCATTGGCAAACAGTAGGTTGCTTGCTTCAATGGAGAGCAAAGAGGGCACATCAGAGACGATTATGGGAAATGTTTCTGGCAGGCATCAAGTCCCTGCAAGGTCTCCTGTGTGCTTTCCTTTCATTATGAACTACAGTGAAGGCAGTGAGAGATTCACAAGCAGCAGAAGCATCCTCGAAGTTCTGAGGGAGATTGATGCTGATGTGCTGGCCCTGCAGGATGTGAAGGCAGAGGAAGAGAAGAACATGAAGCCTCTTTCTGATTTGGCAGCTGCCTTGGGGATGAAATATGTGTTTGCCGAGAGTTGGGCTCCAGAATATGGAAATGCCATCTTATCCAAATGGCCATTTAAGAAGTGGAAAGTTCAAAAGATAGCTGATGATAATGATTTCAGGTGCTTTATTTCTCCCATATTTTCATTGAAATAATTGCCACTCTTCAGTTAAAAGAAGTTAGTTATGATTATTATTATTATGACTATTGAAAGACAAAAACTGTCATGCCTCTGCCTGTCCCCTTTTTAGGTTCAGTTTTTTGACTCTTTGAAATTAGATTTGTTGCATATATAGTTTGTCTGGTATTATTATCAATGTAACTAACTACATAGGATGTTGAAATAGAATAATTTACAATAGCAATTAAAGGTTATGAAAAACTAAAAAAATTGGAGACCAAGTGAAGATATCTCCTTTCCTGTTGTTTTAGACTACAGATTCTTGGGTCTACAAACTGCAATGACAACTGTGTGTGTGATTTAGGAATGTTTTGAAGGCTACCATTGATGTACCCTGGGCAGGAGAAATAAATTTCCACTCTACTCAACTTGACCACTTAGATGAGAATTGGAGGATGAAACAAGTGCAGACAATAATTCGATCCAATGACCCTCCTCATATCTTGGCAGGAGGTCTCAATTCTCTATATGGAGCAGATTACTCATCTGAGAGATGGACAGATATTTTTAATGTAACATTCTTAGTTATCACAACTATTTACATTAAATTGAGTTTCTTTTCCACACCCATCTGAGAGAGTTTGTTCTTTCTCTAGTATTATGAGAAGCTCGGAAAGCCAAGGCCAAGGTCAGAAGTCATGAACTTCATGAAATCAAAAGGCTATGTTGATGCAAAGGATTACGCAGGAGAATGTGAGCCCATCGTCATCATTGCCAAAGGCCAAAGTATTTTTTCACTTATTCAATTGCTTTTTCTGATTAAACCAAGTTTATTATTATGATCATGATTGTTCAAACTTCTAAGTCTAACTTGAGTGCTCAAAATAATAGATGTGCAGGGGACATGCAAGTATGGCACAAGAGTAGATTACATTTTGACTTCCCCAAACTCACCGTACAAATATGTACCAGGATCCTACTCTGTCATCTCTTCAAAAGGAACTTCTGATCACCATATAGTGAAAGTGGACATTATGAAAGTAAATGCATATGGTCAGAAAAATGTCATTAGACAGTGCAGGAAACTAAAGAGGAAGGTTGTGAAAATAACACCACCATGTTCTGCAACAGGTGTAAGGGAATCAACCCCACCTACCAAAATACTTGTACCGTAGCAAGCTGTTTTGACAAAAGTGACATGACATATTTTGATAAACAGTGTTTTCTGTTGCGGTGAAGTTATAGATCATATTGCAAGTAATTTAAGTATCAAATTAAACTCAAGCAATAGGTGATTTTATTACCAGTTTTTTTTATTCCTATTGGGCATCTTTAAGTTCATAAATTAACTTGGCTCTTTCATTTTGCAACTCCATAACTTCTTCCACACCTCATAATTATCCATGTAAAATTACTAAAATACATTTTTACTAATTTTGTCAGAAATCTGAAAAGTTTTTTCACTCCTCTGCACCTTCGTATCTCTTGTACCTCTATAATTTCTCCATCTTCATTTTGTTGCCCTTCCATATCTACTAAAAGTCATTTTTAGTCCATAAGATTAGAAATTGTTAATACTTTGTATCTAATGTAGAATATTTGTCTCAATGTAATCAGACTAAAAAATGAGTTTCATAATAATTAATTTTAAATGTATTTTTAGAATATTCTATCCAAAAATATATTTAGATTAATTGTTCTAAAATTTATTTTCAAAACATTTAATTCATAAATACTTATAGATTAATTATTTCACAACTCATTATTAGATTGCGTGTTCTATAAATACATTTTAAATTGAGTATTTTAAAAATGAATTTCGAATTAAATATTCTAAAATACATATCTATAACATCCAATCTAAAAAGAAAATAAATAGAGGAAAGTGAGATTTATTTGAATTAGGTATGTTTTTAAGTATTACAACACAATTAGCCCATTGAGCCCGGTGATGGGTGCCTACCCTACAGAACGTACACGCAAGTTCTAACTTGCAGGGATATCAGCCCAATTTTAGAAGAGCCAACATTTCATCAACTTCTTCACAACAATCCATGTAATTTGAACTTGTCACCCCAATTTTTAGAAGAGCCTGCATTATCTGTAGTTCTATTACAATTCCTTATTCTTTTATTTCATATCTCATTTTGGGTAATTTCAAAGTTCCTCTAAAATATTCTTTATCATCTTTTACATAATATACCCTTTTTCTTTATCATCTTTTACATAAATTTTAATTCTATTTTTTTTACTAAACCAATATGTTGATATGTACGGATACTAAAATTAATAGAATATGTTTGAATACATGTCCTAAAGCATGAGACGAGATTAACAAATGTTAAAAAGGTAATAAATAACATGTGTCATACTGAACATGTTTAATGAAATTTCGCTCGCACATATCACCTTAATTTTTAAAAATAATTTTATTTTATTAAGCTATAATTGGGATTATTTATAAATACATTTAGTTAATATAGTTTTGTTTTTTAAATATAACTCACTAAATGTTCATAACATTTCTTATGTATACTCAAAATGTTTGTATATTTACTTATTTTCTAGAAATAAACAATTTACAAATTATAAATAAATTTTCTTAAAATATAGTTTATTGATGTAATTATTATAAAAGATTAGTTGTATGTCAACAAAATCTTGTTTTAATATTTATAAATAGGTTGGTCTTAACTTTGCTAGTTTTTCTCCGGCTCTGCTTACAGTTTCTAAAAAAATAGTTATTTTTACCAAGATTTTCAATAAAAAACTGAGACAAAAATAAAATAAATAAACAATTTTTTTTCTTAAAAATGAAATTAGCTTATACATTAACTTAAGTTATAAAATCTCTACATATTTTTTTTTAATATTTTCAGCTTATATATATGTTAATTTGAGTTTATAATATATTTTGTTTTTTAACCTTCTTCTTTAAAAAATGTTTTTACTTACAAGAAAATTGAGTAATATAATCTATTACTAGAAATAGAAAATTATATGAAATGTTCGATTTACAAGTAGGTGAAAATTTTTCTTTTCTTTTCATCTAACTTATTCCAAGTATTTTTAGAAGAAGTTGACAAAAAATCTTTCAGAATGAACTTTTTATTATTTTATTATGGATTAGTTACTTAAAATTGATCAAGCTTAAAATAAAATAATCCTTTTACTCCATGCCCTAACCTCTCTCACACGACCATATGATATGATTAGGCATGCTAAGTCCCATTTCACTGCATGTTTGAAACTTTTCCTAACTGTAAAAACTCTGCATATAAATTTCATTTATAAGAAAGAATGGAAGGAACATAAAACTGTTTAACAATTACATAAAACAATCCTTTTAAACATTAAAAACAATATATGAACATATAAGAATCACCATATATGTATATATTCAAGTCTCAGACTTCTGGGAAGTTTCGTTGGAATCAGAACTGGTAGGGTATCCAATTCCATGGCGATTATTGGGGAAAATAACGAACACAGAGCCAGCAACTACTCCAATAATAGGAGGCACCACCTGCATCAGAAGCTTCTCACTGGACTCGAATTCAGGATAGAAACAATGAACAGTGTTGGTGTCAAACAATCCCAGCACAGCGAACACAACCAACGAGAAGAAAGCGTGCACGAAGTCCCCGAACCGGAGCTTATACAGGGACAAGTCAACGGACTCCGAAGCAGGCGAAGGCCACAGCCCCTTGGCAGTGACGATGCCGTAGTGGCGCTCGCCGTCGCTGCCGGTGTAGCTGTCGGTGAAGGAAGAGAAGGCGCAGTTGAAAGCGCACACCACAAGGAGCGCTCCGGTGAGGTACTTGTTGAGAGTGGTGCAGTGTCCGTTGTTGGTTACGACGGGAATGAGGAACTGGAAGAGAAAGACGGTGCCGGTGGGGAGAAGCTTGACGAGGTTTCCAAGCGCCGAGAATGTTTTCCCTGACATGGTTGAAGGTCCAGTTTTCTGGGAGGTTGTGTTGGAGGAAGAAGAGGTCATGAGGGTTCTTTTACTCATGATGTTAGGTATTACAGTTGAAGGGGATGCACACTCACTTGCGGAATTTGAGGTGGAGTGGTGCGGTTTTTATAGAAGTGGAGAGAGGAGTTAGTTGCTTCTACGCGATGTGGAATCTGGAGAAGAGAGTTTCATTTATAATGTAATAGAAGTATGTATGTAGTCTTGCTTTTGCTTTTGCCTTCGGAAAGACCCACACCACACCACACCCAGCTTCAATTCTAATTCAAGCTTTCACGTTTTTGAATCTCGTTCGTAACCCTCTGAACGTGACTTTTGTGCTCAGATAGAAAACTGTCAAAATACTCACATTTTTGTATTTTTCTTTTTATGTAAATTCGTTATGTCTCTTCATCTTATTTCACAGTTCGTTTTGTTTTGTTTTTATCTCTTTTGAAATAAATTTAGTTAAACATATTTAAAAAGATCATAATAATTGATTATTTTAAGATGTTATATGAAAGTTAATTATCCGTTTGGGTAGGAGGTATAGTTAATGTAATGCGTGTACAATAACCCAACTCTACTATAAATGCATTCTAATTTTGAGGGTGAAATGATCTCCATCACTATTTTCAGATTTAGTTTTCGAATATATTGTCCATTTCAATTTGATAATTGGTTACCAGAGTTATGGTGCATGGTATAAATCATTAGTCAAATTATATGAAACAAAAGATGTACTCATTACCAAAAAGCATAGCATGTCAGTAACTTCAGAATTGCTTGTAGGAGGAGTGTTTGTTGTTTTGGGGAAAGTTTTGTTGAGCTGAAACTAGAGAAAGAGTTTAGATTCCACAATTCACAAATTCCTTGGACGTTAAGTGTTACTTAATTCATAAACTTGCTCATTCTTACGTCATTTACTCTAATTATCATTTAAACCAATCATAGTTTTAGAAAGCACAATCAACTCATTTTAAAAATTTCAAGATTTTTTTGGGCTTTTCTCTGTAGAAATCAATGTGGGCCGGCAGCTACACATAAATAGATAGTAGGCTACTATCCTGGCAACTAATGGACTACATCGAACTGGGCCCAATTAATCTTCCAGACAATAATTCAAAGCAGCGTAAACAGAAAACAAAGCAAAGTGAATTGATGATATATAAAAATTAGAACAAAAATATTATGAATAATATATATTTAACTATTTAAATAAATAAATAAATAATCAGAGTACATACAATAATTTTTAAATTATTAAAATATTAAGTATATATGTTTTGTAAAATATGATTTATATCATCAATAAATTGTTATTTTGTTTTCACTGGTTCAATGCAGGCTCATTCTAATTTGATTGACAATTTCGTTGATACATAACATTCATAATTAAAGCCATCACAAACAACGTCTATATATTTATTTAGTTAAAGCTGACGCAAAAGTTTGGTTTTGAGAAAACTCAACTAATATAATTCTCAAAATCTGCATACCCTATATATACTTTACTATTTTTCACGTTTTAAGATAATTAAATTAAGTGTTTAAATTATTATAAATTAATTCACGGATATTAAGCTTAACTTTATATGCTTTATATTTACATTTTTATTTATCTGATAAATTATAAATAAACTTTTTTTTAATAATAATATAGCGAGTTGATCTACTTTAACCTGAAACCCACCCGTATAAGGTTGACTTTGGATTTCTAGCCAATTTTTCTAAACAGATTTAATTAATTCAATCTATACATTCAAATATTAATGAGAAGTTTATATGTTATGTAATCTTTAATACCATCTAATATATATATATATATATATATATATATATATATATATATATATATATATATATATCTCGTAAAAGAAATATTCTCTCCGAATCATTTTTAAAAATAATGGAATCATGTAACAACTTTATTCATAATTAAAGCAGACACTATGAAAAAAAAGGGAAAAAAAAGTAAAAGCTGACACAAAAGTTTAGTTTTGAGAAAAGTGAACCATGATTCTCTATGTTCACGAAGATTAAGTGGTCTTTAAACAATATTTTAAAGTAAACCATTTGTTATTCATATAAAAATTATGTTGTGTCTTGAACAGAAAGTGCAAAAAGAAAGAAAAGTGGGTGGGTTTTGCTTACCTAGGTAAACACAACTGCTGCCGACACAAGAACAAAGCCTTGCCATATACCAAACAATGGACAATTGTTTTTGTATGTCTCTGTTCAAATCTTAGAAGTTCCAACAACACCTTATTATTCCTACCCAAATAAAAAATAAATACTATTTCTTTGTTAGCCTTATTTCTTATACAGAAAAATACTCAAAAGATTGCTTCATATTTTCGATAATACCAGAAGTGATTTTATTCAATCTACCAGACATTCCAGTTCTGCGCATGGAATTTTTCTCAAATAATTTGATGATGAGAGAAAATAGATGAAGAAGAAAATAATTAGAATCTGGCCAAATTTCCCTATTTAATTTGTCCACATACAAAAGGGTACAACAGACCTGCAAAGAGGCTCTGGAATTAACCGGAGCAGAATCGAATGTAGGCCACATAAAAACCAAACCAACCCTTTCATTTCCGGATTTTACAGATCAACCCCGTCTTCCCCACATCGTTTTTTCCTTTCTTTTTTAATTTAGTTTACTTTATTTTCCATCTCTAACCTGAAATTACAACCTAAACTTACCCTTAAACAACCAGCCTCCACCACAATCACACCATCTTACAATCTTACACGTCATCGTAACATAAACTACTCCAAACTTCTTTTATTAACACTTTTGCCCCCAAACTTTCCCCAATTCCAGATCCACCCTCCCGTTTAAAAAAATCACGGTCAGGTCAGGACTCCAAAACCAGAGGGGCGCAACAGAGAAGAAGAAGATTCTAGAATAAGGAAGGAACGAAGAAAAGGAAGACGGGTCGGTTATATTTGGGTCTGATCCAACCCGGAAACGGTCCCTATTTGGCTCATTCAAGCCGGAGCAAGCGCCTCAGATCTCTCGTGGCGGAGTCGTCAACCGCCACCGCCGCCGCCGCTGCCACATGCCTCTTCGAAAACGACGGCAAGGGAAGCGCGCTGGGCGACGGCGACATCGCGAACGCTGATCCGGCGTAAACATCGTGCCCGGACCAGAAATCAACGATGCAGATCTGCTTGGGAACCATATCCGGGTCGGGTCCGAGTCTCTGGGTCCCAACTACAACCATATCGTCTCCCTCCTTCTTCAAGGCCTCGCATTTCAGCTTCGAATCGAGCGACTCTCCCCTCCGGAGAATCGTCACCTTCTCCATCACCATCCCGCTGCTCCTCGAAACCCTCGAGTCATCGGAACTCAGTTTTTTCTCAGCGACCCGTTTTCGCTGCTCGGGTCGCGTGACCGGTTTCCGGTGAGCCCGGTAAACATTGACGTTGTTGACGTAAACCCTCCGGCGGGAGAATCCCGCCGGCGGAGCACCGATCCGGTGGGTAAAGCAATCTTGTGGCCGTAGAACCTCCGTACCCATCCTGAAGAGATTAAAAAAGTTGGAGGAAAAAAAAAGTAGAGAGATGTAGATCTGAAGGGGTGGTAGGTTGGTTTGTTTGGCGTAGGATGTTTCTTTTGGCTGATGTTGTTCTTCCTTGCTTATGTTATGATGTAGTTGATGTTGGAAAACAAGGAAGAGAAGGGTAAAACGGGGAAATGAAAGAGGGTTTAAGTCTGGGAAGGGAGACAGAGGGGGGAGGGTGATATATAGGAGAAGAGGAAGGAGACAAAGGTGGGGGTGGGTTCCACCGCCTTGCGTTGCGCGTGAAGAAAGAGAAAGAGGGTGAGTCTCTCTATTAACGGTCCACGTTTGTTTAACACCTTCCTTCTTCTTCCTTTTTTCCTCATTCACTTTCTTTCACCCATTTTTGACGTGAGGTAACGGCGCCGTGTATTGTCATTATCGATGGCCCTGTTTCCTGGAAATTATTATTTGAGGTGGGCTCCAGCTGGGTTTCCCCAATAATTATGCAACTCCAAGATTTTTCTTTTTTAAAAAAGAGAAAAATAAAACTTTTTTTTTTTTTTTCATCTTCAACCATTTGCTAAAAATATAAAATGAAAGGAGTGGTTTGGAGGGTAATAACGAAAATGCCACCTACCCAGTATTGTAAATTGCACTCTCCCTCCCGACCAACCCTCACGTATTCAAATTGGACAATAAAAATTAATACTAGAAAATATTATATCACTTTTATTTGCTCTTGTCATAATTAAGTGCAGTTGAGCTTAGCTGATGAAACCTAGTAATGTTTATAAAAGTTTTTCTTTTTAGTTTTAAGATATTTAAAGTTTTTATTTTAATTTTTTTCATAGGTCCAATTTCGGATAAATTATCATTTTCGAACATAATTTTATGTCTGAATTTGGAATTAAATTTAAGTTTTTAGTTAAGAGATTTTAATAATAATAAAAAAAATGCCCTATTATAAGATTTGGTACCTTAACGATAGTGTTTTTCTTTTCAACTAGACATAAAATTAATATATTTTGAATTGCAAACTTAATTTTAAACACGCTGAAGGAAAAGACTTTTTAAAACAATAATTATAAAATTTAATACAGAAATTATGAATAAATTTAATAAATGTTGTTTTATACAGTGGAATGATAAGGTAAAAAAGCAAAATTGGAATGTAATAAAATTGTATATATTCTGTGTGCTCAATTCAGTAAGTACGGTGAGCTGAATTAGTAAAAAAAACACTTATTTTTCATGTAATGTGATACTTTTTAAGTGAAATAATTGTGTTAATAATGTGTTGGTCAATCGTCATTAAAAATTACTTTATTTTTTTGTTATGTTAATATATGATTGAACGAATAAATACTTGATAATGATACAATAAATTTGCTTTAAATTATTGATTAATTTCATATAATTTATTAATTTAACTGCTTGAAATTTAAATTCTTTTACTTGAAAATTAGAATTTTTTTTTATAAGGACTAATATGTGTACATGACAAAGAACAAATAATTTTGAACTTCGTGTTGACGATCTTAATAATGGATATTGCGGAATAATTCCCTCTTATCAATTTTTTAAAGAGAATCTCAAGTTGGTAACCCATTTATTTTCTAACCTATAATCATTCTCTAACCCAATTTTTATTATTCATAAAATATATTCTTATAATATTCTTCTTTACGTCTTTCATCTCATTATTTGGTATTTTTTCTCTCTTAATATCTCTCATAACAGTAGCAGTTTTATTATGATAAAATAATTTGGCAATCACTAACGATAATCCATGAAATCCAACCCAATCTTTATAAAATATAAACAAAAGAAGATGATGATCTTGAAATATACTATAAGCAAGGGCTGAAAAGGACATTTCACCGTCTTCATGAGCATCAGTGTTTGAATGATGTAGGCGCACTTAGTCAAGCGTTCCATTGTTTACCCAAACACAAACACTTGTCTTAGGTTTTTTTATTTTTTATTTTTAATTAAAAAATACCCATTGACTTTAAAAATAAACATTAAAAGTTTCAATTTAAGTATGTAACTATTATTATAAGTGGTTAGCCATAATTTTCTGAATTAATATATTAATAACAAAATCATGGTGGTTTTTTAATACCTCAAAAATCAATAATTGGTAAAGTTTTTGATACCTTAAAAAATGAAATATTGTCTTGATTTTTGTCATAGTATAAGGTGTGAGGGTAAGAGTGGTTAATCAATTGTAAAGGAATATGCTGTGTGTTGCGTTTAGTCTCCTTTTTGGTGTACAGTTTAGAAACATGGAAGAATTAAAAATTGAGAATGGGATTTGGAAGGAGGTGTGGAAACATCCAAAATAAGAGACAGGTGGGTGAAAGGAACATGGTATGATTCAAAGGATGGGATCACAAACTTGTTTACTTCGTTCATTATTGCGCTAACTTGTTTACTTCGTCAACAAAATAAGGTGGGTCGGTCAAATTTTTATTTTCATTTTTTTAATGTAATAAGGTTATATTTCTAGTCATGTTTAAGTCTTATCGGTTCAAGTAAAGTTCTAAATCTAATTATTCCAAAAGTATTTATTCTTTTTCCCTTGAAAACCATTAAAATATATAATATTAATTTGAAATTAGAATGTGAGAATATAGAACAGCTTCAAAGGAAAGATAAACACTTACAGAAAATCTGCTTGACATCATTCATGTTTCTGGCTCTAAATGTTCTACCAAAAGTTATGGTCGTCACATATTCAGTAATTAATTATATGAATGGCCCCACTAAATGCAGGAAAAATATCAGGGTTTCCTTTCCCATCTATGGTGAAATGAACATGACACGAATTTTCAGTCCCACAAAACAAGTCATTATTAATCAGCTGTACCAAAGCATGGTTAGTTCATTTCGTTATCAGTACTAATAGCTCCACATCTGGGCCATAAGCCCTTCATTGAAAATAGGAAGGCCCTTGGCATATAAAGCCCACCCAAACAAATATGCTGTAGTAGGCCCATGTCTTGCAACATTCTAATCCCACTCAGAACCACAAAAATCCAAAGAAGTAGGCACTGTTTTTATAATCTCTAAAGTCCTTTCTTTCTTTCTTTCTCAAATATATATAACTACTGTCCCTGCTCTAATTAATGAATAAAATGGTGGTGACCCATTTGCAGAAAACGGTGACGTCAATAAAATATCGCAGTGTGAATTTTGGGTCACAGAAATTACAGAGCCAATATCCACCACAGTGTCTCCTTCAGGTCCTATCCTCACTCGAACGTTACAAAGCCACAAGTTTTGACAACAAACAAAACAAAGCAATTCATAAGATAGAACGTCTTCCGAGACACTCGTTCTGTCGTCTCACTATCCAAATGCCCTTCCCTTCTCATTCATGAACAAAACATCATAGCACATAAATAAATACAAAACAAAATATATTCAACAAAATTGTACTGAATTATATGCTATGTAACGGTGTAGCAGAAGAGAAAAGAAAAATGTTGGTGGTTGAATCGAGTGGTTCCAAGGTGGATCTTCCCGAGGAGCTGCTACAAGTTCTACCGTCTGATCCTTACGAGCAGCTTGATGTGGCCCGCAAGATCACCTCCGTTGCACTCTCGACACGTGTCAACGCACTCCAATCGGAGTCGTCCACTCTGCGCGCCGAACTCGCCGATAGAGACCGCCTCATCGCCGACCTCCAAACTCAGGTCGACTCCTTCGACGCCGCTCTCTCCGAAGCCACCGATAAGCTAGCCCGAGCCGACCAAGACAAGGTCCGAACCGGTTCCGGTTCAATTTGCTATAATCAATGATTTTATTTATTTATTTGTTTTGCTGAAGATTACACGTTAATTACAGGAGGGTTTGCTGAAGGAGAATATTTCTCTTTCCAATGCGGTGAGGAAGCTCACCAGAGATGTCTCTAAGGTGCAAATTACTTGTTTTTTTCTTCGGCAATTCCCATGAAGTTTGGTTCTTCGTGTACATAATTGTTGCATGGAACGTGGGTGTTATTGGACTAATAGGTTCTCAATGTGATTAATTATATGCATTGCAGTTGGAGAGTTTCAGAAGGACGCTCATGAAATCACTTCACGAGGATGAGGAAAATTCTGTACGTTACTTTATTCATTATATACTATTATTAGTTATTTTATCTTTAATTTAAACACTTTGAAATGAAGTTTATCAATTTATTTTTTATTTTCAATCAATATAATGTGTACCTGTTACATTAAGTGCTATTAAATAGCTTTTTATGAACATAAAATTTGACGTTAATCAAAACATCAACCATTGTTCATCTATTGCCCAATAACTTTCTCTTCTTAACATGATTGGTTATTGAGCTTCTCTGTCTTTTTCTGCTTTCTTTACCTTCATTTTCTTTTATAAGGATCATTGTGAAATTCTCTTAAAAACAAACAATTATCATGTTTGCATTCTATGATAGCATGCTATTTATTTGAAATAATGTTAACATATGGTTTGCATTTGAATTTGTCACAGGGAGGAGCACCGGACATTGCTGCTAAGTTGCATAGTCAAGCAAGTATCTCTTCCTCGTCGCAATTTGGAGGTACTTTCAGCAAGCAAAGTATAATTAATTAATTAATTCGTTAGAGCCACCACACAGTTCATGCATATATTTGAAGCCGAAAGCAAAGAAAATAATAGCTTAACTATTTCATGCTTCAATGGAATGCTAGTGCTTGAATTGAAGGATTACAAGAAACACAATTGTCTGCTGAGTATTTTTCTCATTTTGGGTTGTGATACAAGTTCTCATCATTTGACTGCAGATGAAGATGCTTCAACGCTTTCTTCTAGATCTTCTTCAATGCGAATGAACACTTTTGATGCGCCAAATTATTTTGCAGAGGATCGTGAGTCTGCTGGTGTGTACCATCATCTAACGAGTTACATATTTGCATGCATAACCAAAATATATGTTTTATTCTATGCTATATATTTTCACGTACCTTCTTGTTGTGTATTTTGCAGGGTCAAGATCTCGAGCAGCTTATAATGTTCTCTTAGCATCTCAAACTAGTACCCCTCGCATTACTCCCCCAGGTTCTCCTCCTACTATGTCTGCATCGGTATCCCCAACAAGAACATCATCTAAGCCTGCGTCTCCAAGGCGCCATGCAATGTCCTTTTCAACCTCAAGAGGAATGTTTGATGATAGGTCTTCAGTTGCCTCACAAACTGGTCACTCCTATCAAATCCTTCCTTTTCTTGCATTTGTTCTACCACTTTTTATATCTACGTTTTTTTTTTTTAGTAATGGCTCATTCACTGGCTTTTTATTGTTCCAGGTCGAACACGTGTGGATGGAAAAGAGTTTTTTCGCCAAGTTAGGTGAGTGAGGTTGCTTATTTTACTTAGTGATTTTAGCTATCAAACAATTTGCAAATTAACATGACATAAATTTATGAAATGTTACAAATAAAACATATATAAATTCTCACTTACATAATATAAATTAAATTTAAATATATTTTGAGATAATATTATAATTTATTTTAACCTTTTAAACGATTAATTATTTTCAGAGAGATTTTTATGGGAATGAATCGTGTCTAAACCCAAGATTTAAATTCTTAAATGGAAATAGCATTTTTTTTAATTGCAGTTTTATTGTGAGTTAAAATTTATTGTAAATCACAAAATCTATATTTCATATTCTATTAAATATTTTTTTTAGTTTCTAATAATTGTAAATCAACTACACTTGCACAATATTAAATTGTGTTTAATATTTAACTTTATGTTGATTCTTGTTTCATTTGTTGGTGTTGGTTATTATCAGGAGTCGTTTATCTTATGAACAGTTTGGTGCATTTTTAGCAAATGTTAAGGAACTGAATTCTCATAAACAAACCAAAGAGGTAATATATAATATCTCTGCTTCCTTCTCTGTTCCATGCTTCCCCTCCCATGAATCTAAATTTTGGTTAATTAGTTGCCACTGTGTGAAATTGCAGGAAACACTACAGAAAGCTAATGAGATTTTTGGGGTTGAAAACAAGGACCTCTATACTATATTTGAGGGATTGATAACACGCAATGTCCATTAACCCTAATTTCACAGCACTTGTTGCTTGATAAAGTTTTATTTAAATTCCCAGCATGTAAATTTGTATACTGTGTTTCTTGTTCAGCTATACAATAAACATGGATGGTGCTTTGACAATATTTTTTACTATTTTATGTTATTTTTCAACACTTTTATTTATATTTATTAGATTGAACCAAACGTATTTACAGAATAAGTATGATAATTTTTAAAATCTATTTATGTAAGAAAATTATTAGATTTTAAATCATTTAAAAAGTTTTTTATGTCTAGCAAAAGGCTGTTCATTTAAATATAAATAATAAAATAATAATAATATTTACAATTTATAACAATTATAATAGTATTGGTGTCAACACAATTTTTTTATTGAAATGTTTAAAAGTTATACACTTTTAAAATCTATTTATAGTGTTAAGTTACTTGGCTACTTATTATGTTTGTTTTAATGTTTAAAAGTTTTTTGGTTGTTGTAAATTTCTATGCATTATTGTAAATTCTAATGCACAAATAAAGAAGGAAAAATGTTTATTTTGACAATAGATTCCATTTTTTTTTTTTACTTTTAGTTTAAACATGTATTTAATTATTTAGTGTAAACTCATTCCATGGTTGTTTTTTATATTTACTTAAAAGATCTTATTACATATATAGCAGGCTAAAGCTTTAACTTTTTATCTTAACACTTTAGAAAATAACCTATATTAGTATATAAGTTAGATTTTAGACATTATTTTTTTAAAAGAAGGAAAAAGTATATTTTTTATTTTTCTTTTGTTTTTTGAAATTTATTTTTAGTGTTTCCAAATTGATAAATTTAGTTATCTAATTTTTTAAAAATATATGACTTTAGTCTTTATTTATATTTAAAATAAACTATATGAATGTATAATATATGATTTTAGTAATCTATTATATGTAAATTTAACATTTAATAATGATTTTTTATTGTTATAAAATTGATAGAAATTAAATTAAGTTTTTTAAAATTTAAGATTAATTAATTTAAGTTTGAAAGCAGAGGGAACAAAATCAATTAAAAAAAATAAAGAAAAAAATAACCCTACAAAAATATTTAGGTTTATATCTTATTAAGCCTTTTTTCTCATTTTAAAAATGGCTAATTTATTATTACCTCCATTCTAAAATAATGGCAAGCTGCTTTTTAGTCATGTAAAAAGATTTCAAAATAATCTATGCTTTGACCTTTTAATGAAGTATTAATGTTTTTAATATGTTTGAAAATCAATTACTTTCTCTTTCTTATTTAAAATGATATATTTATGGAAAAGTAAGATTATTTGAGTAAAATTAATTATTTCAAGTAGGATATTTATTATTGTTCTTTTGATATGTGTGGAATAACCTTAAAATAAACTTAATTTGTATTGATTTATTCATTTGAATGATCGTTTAATTTTACTAAACTTTTTTTTTTAAAATTTAATAACAAACCATCTCAAGCAATCATTTTTTTGAATAAAAAATGGCTTGAAAAAACTCCTTGAGAAAGTGCAAGACACGGCATTGGAATAGATTTTTTATGAGCAAGAAATGAATATGCTTAAAAAGTAATCAAGTTTCACGATTTTTGGAATGAATCACGTGCATATGAATCTTTTGTTTTAGTAGCCTCATCATCTTGTGAGTTCAAAAAGAAGGAAGCCCTTGCTGGGAAACAATGATCATCATTGATTTGTTTCCCTTCAAAAATTTCCACTCTTTCTTGCTTCAAACCCACGCATTTTCTGCTTAAGCCTTTCTGGCTTCATGCACCTGAAAGCAAGGCTTTCATTAAGTCACCAAATAATTAATTAATTAATTTTTCTACCATCTATTATGTCTCTGCCACTGAATGATGGTGGATTAGTGGTTATATTTAGAAAGTGATGAATTGAAAAAACTTAGATGTTACTTTCTTTGTTTGGGTTGTGGTTTTAGTTACTTTGATTAATTATTACGTGTAGATAATTTCATTTTTTCCACCTTCAATTTCCTTTCAATGGAGGAACCTGAATATGGAAATCGAGTTGGATATATTGAGTTTTATTTGGACACCAAAAGATAATATTAATTAAATTTCACATCATGGTGCCTCCTCAGTAAGCATCCTGTAACATTTTTAAGGAAATTAACTTACGGTAATTAAGATAATTATTTAGCATCTATGTCAATTGCTCTTTGTTGAAACTGATAAAAAGAATAAATAGTTAATGAAAATAAGATATTAGCTAAAAAAACTATTTTTGAAATGGAAAATGATACTTTGACAACTAAATCCATACAACTCAGTAAACAACTCTGTTTTAATATTATAATAATAGTTTTATTTTATTTTTATTTTTATTAAATCAGTCTATAAATTATTATATTAATAAAAGTGAGTTGTTTAAAGAGATGTATGATTTCGATTTTCAAAATATCACTACTCTTTTAAAATAATCATTTAAAAAATAAGATTAGTTGATAATTAATAAACTAAAAAGATATTTTTTCCATGTACAGAGGTTGGATAGGCATCGTTTTCGTTCCAAGCTATATAATTAATTAAAGCCATTTTTTATGATGGCAAAAAAAGTGACATGCGTGGCTTCACCTCCATAGGGAGAGGAAGATGTTCATCCCTAAGCCTTTCTCAAACACAACCTTTTAATTAAACTAAACTGGTATATTTTAATTTCGTTATTTAATTATTAATCTATATTTTTTTAATATGAGAAAAGCGAATTCAGATTTGCATCGAGACAAAGCAATGGATGAGTAACTAACCAAAGCCGCATTTGGGGCATAAAAAAACGGTGTGAGATAATGACAACGTTGTAGTATTATCATAGGAAGAAGGAAAACACAGAAAAATCATGCCAACCGCTACTTTCATGTCTCTCCATCTCTCTTTCTCTGTCTTCTTCTCTTCTCTTCATCTCTGACTCTATATGCGTGCACGTCATTCCCGTGGCCACCCTTTTGGTTCTCGGAAACTCGTCCTGCTTAGCCTTGGCCACCATGAGCGATGAACGAGAACCAACAGCTTCCTCGAGGTACCTATCTTTCGTTTGCATGGTCTTTGCGTCCTTCTTCGTTGGTGATACCTGTGCATTTTATTTGTTTTTACATGCAACGTTTGCTTTTCATCTCATGCATGGTTTGTCAATTTCGGTTTCTTCTTGCAGTTCAGCTTTCAATCTGTATTGCTAATGTTTCACGTGCCAATGGCTAGTAATTAATAATAACATTTTTTACACTGTTGCTTCAGAGTTTTCAACCATGACGTCACGGTTGATATTTTTGTGTTGCCAATTTTTTTTGACATTGTTACGGGCATGGGCATGCATTCAGTCGGTCGCTTTTGATCACTCATGGTTTTATTGGGATTTGGTTTTAGTCTCTTAGGTTTTGTTCATTGTGTCATATATCCTTCGGTTTTTGCTGACAAAGGATATTATACTGGCAGCAATGGCGTCCGCAAGTTTGAAAGAAAACAAATAGCTGAAAAGGAGAGATCTACTGTTAAAGGCAACCGTCCACGACCTGGGTTTTCTGATTCATTTTCAAGTATTGGTAATTAAATTTTCCTTTCTCTTCTTTTCTTGTTACCAACATGAGTTTAGTTTCCCCCAAGCATGTTGAATTGACGTATTGGACCTTGCAATTTCATTTGTCATTTTTTGTACTAATGCTGAAAATGAATACCATATTAGACTTGGAAACTTTAGACATTGAAGAGGGAGGCCTACCTGAACACTCTCCCAGGAGTCAAGGGTCTGAAACCCCAGGTTCAAAGGCCAGCACTTCTGATTCGGAGAGTCAGGGGGCTTTAATAGGCAATTCACCTAATAATAATAACCAATGGCGTGGTTTCTTTAAGTTACTGAAGAAAGGATCCCAAATGCCTTTTCAAACTTTTCATCCACTTAAAAATGTTCCTAAACTGACAAGAAGAAAAAGCAAGAGAATCAGGGAGGACCTGATTCCATCTCTGAATTCTCCAGCTCTCCAGTCATCTTTTGACACTGACTTTAGCTGCTTCAAATCTTCCTGGAAAAACTTCACTCTCGCGGAGATCTTGACTGCAACAAATGACTTTAGCCAAGGTATGCAATTCTCTTACCAGGAAATCAAATTACTGTTGGATGAAGAAAAAAAAAACACTACTAATTGCTTTCTAATTGAATAATCCAAGTAACTCTGAAATAAACCTTTGTTTTCTTTTTCTTTTTATGATGTCATGTTGAAATCATGCTTGCTTGGCCTGATAAGTTATATGTTTCCTTTTGAAGAGAATTTGATTGGGGAGGGAGGCTATGCCGAGGTTTATTTGGGGAAATTGGACGATGGAAACTTTGTTGCCATTAAACGGTTGACAAGAGGGAACCAAGAGGAAATGACTGCAGATTTCTTGTCTGAGCTTGGCATTATTGTACACGTGGATCACCCCAATATAGCTAGATTGATTGGATATGGTGTTGAAGGAGGAATGTTTCTCGTTCTTCAATTGTCTCCACATGGTAGCTTGTCATCAATACTTTATGGTATAAATTCTAGCTAACCATTTTGAGAGTTTCTGCAATGCCCTGCTAATTTTGGGAAAATACAAGTTATGATTATTTGTTTTTACCTTGCATGATTTCAGGACCTAGAGAGAAACTGAATTGGAACCTCAGATATAAGATTATTTTGGGGACTGCTGAGGGCCTCCGTTATCTGCATGAGGGGTGTCAAAGAAGGATCATTCACAAAGATATTAAGGCTTCTAATATTCTGCTCTCAGAGGATTTTGAGCCCCAGGTGCCTATTAAGCCTCTCTTCTGTTCTAAATCAATTTACCATCTTAGGATGTGCTTTTGTAAGAGAGTTAACATGAATGTACCTAACATTTACTCCAATACTGTCTAAATGTCCATTTGACAACTTTTAAACCTCAAATCAGACAAACACCTAATTGTTTCATGCCAATATTATACCAGATATCTGATTTTGGGCTTGCAAAGTGGTTACCTGACCAATGGACTCACCATACTGTCTCCAAAGTGGAAGGCACATTCGGGTTTGCATATTTAACATCTTCACAAGTTTTCCGTTTGTACAAGATTATTTTTTTTTATTCCACCTATCAGTTAACACTTTCATTTTCTGTTGCATTGACCTTGGATGCCCACAACAGCTATCTTCCTCCTGAATTCTTCATGCATGGTATAGTAGATGAAAAGACAGATGTCTATGCTTATGGTGTGCTATTATTGGAGCTCATTACTGGTCGACAAGCTTTGGATAGCTCACAGAAAAGTCTGGTGATGTGGGTATGTCTGCCTTTTCACATAGAAATACTAAGTGTTTTTTAACGAAAGTAAAGGATTTTTATACTGTGATCAAATCACAATTGTCATGTATGATAACTATCTTAAAAATCATGCAAGCTAAAAAAACTACATTAACCGTGAGTAAAAGTTAACCCAAATTTTAATCTACCCTTTCAAAAAATCATTGTTGCAGGCAAAACCTTTGCTATCTGCGAATAAGATCAAAGAGCTTGTGGATCCAGTTTTGGTTGGTGCTTACGATGAAGAGCAGATGAAACTTGTAAGCTTAACAGCTTCTCTATGTGTAGACCAATCTTCGATTCAGCGACCAGATATGAGCCAGGCATGTCCTTAATATATTCAGTAGATTGCTAGATCAGGTCGATTTGTCTCATTTCTCTCCAAATGACCCTAACAACGAATAGGAATAATTGCTGCAAAACTGGTTAAGCTGTTAATGCTGCGAGTAACATTATTTTACATCAGACCTATCCATTACACACATTTGTTGTCACCTGATATAGAGCATGTGTGGTTTTTGGTGATTGGATGCAGGTGTTAGACATTCTAAGAGGGGAAGAAGATAGCGTAAGAATCATAAAAGAACGGGCGAAGTCAAAACTTCAGAGGACATACTCTGAAGAACTCTTGGATGCAGAAGAGTACAACTCAACGAAGTTTTTGAATGAGAGGGATCGACATATGGAGACTATTCTAGGCTCAGTTACAGACGAATGAGATAAAGACTAGACTATGACCTGTAATTCAGATAATGTGTGTACATGAAACTACAGAACTTGAAATTATAGGGCAGAAATTTATTTTCAGAATATGAAAACTGATTCTGACTCTACACGAGGATTTACACACTGCTAGAAATTTCCATATTTCTTGTGAATTTTTTAAAATTCACATGAAATGAATTTCCTACGATTTTTTATGTAAATTTTGTAAAATCCACAAAGAATTTGTAAGAAAAATCCCTGGAAATAGAACTGGCCAAACATTAGTTGAAAGGGCAAACAAATACACAAAGGGAGGGAGAGGCAGAACCTCGTGTTATGTTAGCATGTTTGTCAATAGTTTTAGTTAGTTAAAACGATGATGATGTTGGGGTTGCTTTGGATGGGGATTGATTACCGTTTTCCATTTTATCCTCAAACCTTCAAGCATCATCAATTGGAAATACCATTTTCAGCATCTTTTTTAATTTTCTACTGTAACCTAAGCAGATCTATCCAACAATTTTTCTTCATTTTCTTCAATTTCTTCACTTCAAGTGTTACCATATGGTTGTAAATTTTTGAAAAATCACATTTTTATGGCAAATAATTACTTTTACTTGTAAAAATAATTCATGGAACTCCTTATCTCTTACATTGCTCAGATGCTAGTATTATAGGTAATCACTATTATCATGGTGAGGCAACAACTGTTACTGTCAACACCCATAACATAGGTTTATGGTCTTTTATCATCTCTATTATAGCTATCATCAATATTTTGTTATAAGTAAAAAGTGAACACATGTAATAAAAAAGTTAGAAAAATTTACGCATCTTCTCAACTAATTCAATCTTTATTATTAATTAAGTAATGTTGGCATTGAACACTGTGGCACTGTGAAATTATGTTTTTCCTCCCCCTTGTGTTTCGCCCCACTTTATTAGGTTAAAAATTGTTGAAACATTAAGCTAATACTAAGTAAGAGTATTCATGAATATAAAGAAGGAAAACAAAGAAAAATGTATACCATAAAACAATCTCAAATTTCAAAGTGTATGTAATTCATTAAAGTATATCCCTGATGTATAAAGGGGAAAACTAAAACTAGTTACTTGGAACATGAAAACTACGTCTATCATCAATTTCCAACACATGCAAGAAGTTGGAAAATTTTTATTTTTATTTAATATTGGTGATCTATCATGTTTATCATTCAGACATTCACTATTATATTTGAACAAACCTTCAACTCGTTGCAGAAGTAATTAGTCAAATGTTAATAAATAATTCAAATATTACTTCAATATATTCATTTAAATACTAAATCAATAAATATGAATAAATAGAAAGTCTCAAATCAATGGTATCAAATTCAATATCCTTAATAAATTAAAAAAAATTATTTGAAACAGAAATTTATCATAAATGATCACACATATATCAATCACTAATAAAGTAAATGAATATTATATATCAATAGCATGATGTTAAATATTTACTGTTAAAAAAGGCTTAAAAAAATGAGTGTAATGAATAAATTAAAAAAAAAAGGCATAAAAAAAGTCAAACTGTCTTGAACAGTTGGTTCATCTCCAAATCGTGTAAAGGCAAAGTACAGAGAAAGTTGGTTAGGAATTGAAAGTGAAACGAAAATGAGTAGGGTTTGGTGGGTGTTGATATCAGTGTTGGCGTTGATGTTGCAATGGCACGGAGCGTGGAGTTCCTACGCCGGGTCCGCGAGTGCCATTATCGACCCTTCCAAGGTCAAACAAATTTCGTGGAAACCGAGGTGTGTTTGTGTTTCTGCACATGTTTTGCTTATCGAACACAATTTGGTAGCAAGTGAATGATGATTAAATTGATTTGGATGGCGCAGGGCTTTCGTCTACGAAGGTTTCATGACGGAATTGGAATGTGACCACTTGATTTCCATCGCCAAATCGGAGCTGAAGAGATCCGTGGTGGCCGATAATTTGTCCGGTGAGAGCAAGTTGAGTGACGTCAGAACCAGCTCCGGCATGTTCATTTCCAAGAATAAGGTTCCTTATATTCATTTGTTGCTATTAATTGCTTATAAAATTTGATTTTATGTGCTAGTGGTAGATCCAACGTCAATCTTATACTTGGTGTATGTGGAACTGTAATGTAACTACATATGTTTATTGTCTTTAGCTTGATTTTGTTTGTTAGTAAAAATGGAAGAACGGAGAGACACTATCAATGCTATCTGGTAGGTCCCAATAACTTGGTGGGACTACCAACATAAGTCCATTTTGACCATTATTACACAGCTCTAAATTGCAAATATTTTAATCCAATTATAGATTACTCAAATAGTCTTTGAGGGTTAGAGGATCTCTCCTTAGAGGTTTGCCCAGCTAGTGAGATTTTAATGGCGTTAAAGAATATTGAAGCCGCATCCATGAGGAGGTAAAACAATTCCACTGATCATTCTAACAAGTTGGATAGTCAATTCCACCCATGAGACAGATAACAATCTCTAGTGATCTGAAAAGTCTATTCCACCCGTGATTTTATTTTTGCTTTTACATGGTGAATTAGTAAATCAGGATGAGGGCTGTTTTATATAAGAATAACTTGGTGTGTTAGGGAGATTATTCTTATTGGTGTTTGTGATTTGTCCTAGTTTTTAAAATGTTTTGTAGACATTATGGGGGGGCTTTTAGGTTTCCTCTGTTGGCTGAACTGTGGCGGGTTCCTTTTTTAATTCGTATTATAAAAAAGAAAAAAACTGTGCTGAGTACTTTCTATGAACTTTACTCTGTTCAGTTATTTTATAGGATCCCATAGTTGCTGGTATTGAGGATAGGATTGCGTCATGGACCTTTCTTCCAAAAGGTATGCCATATATAAGATCATGATGGAAGTCTGCATGGTATCATCGTAGTCCGTGGAACTTATATCTTTACCCTGCTGCTGATACTTGTTACTTGTGTATGGCTTTTACTTGCACATGATTGAGCTAACTGCAATTATGATTGTCATTTGTTATTACTAATTTTGTTGTTTTTTTTTCTTCTACAATGTCTGGATTTTACACAATCAATTTAGTTTTTGGCCTGAAACACTAACATTACTAGTGAATAAGAAGGCAGTTTTACTATTCTTCTATATATCTCGTCTCTTGTTTAGTTATTATGATAACTGCAGTCTTTGGTTTTAAAGGAAGTCTTTTAAACGAGGACTTCAAAAGAAAAAAAGGTAGAAGTCAGCTCTTTACCAATCATGAATATGCTTACTTCTTGAATATAAGATAAACAGATTATTTCAGGACTGAACTGTGATGCTAATTTTGGTTTTGGAGCTATTATGATTTACAAAGTTTTTAAAGTTTTAGGGACCCATTCTCTCTCTTTCATCTGTCTGCCTGCCTACCATGGCCCTCCACAGTTTCCTTTACAGTCTTATTCTGCATGTCAAAAGCCTATTGTAAATGTGATGTGTGGCATTGTTTATTGCAATTCTCATTTATCTAAACTTTTACTAAAATGGCACAATGAAATTAAACTTGTCCCAATTTAATATAGGAAGCTATCATCATTTATTAATTGAAACAATGAAACTGTTGATTGCATATAGTGACATGTTTGGTGTTCAGAACGCTTTTATTTAGATAGCAGTTTAGAGCGTTTTAAACTAACTCCATTAAATCATTCTCTGCAAATTTCGCATTTTTAGCATTGAATTCAGTTTTCAAACAGTCGTACATTACTTTATTTCCTGATAAAAGCTTTCCACTTTTATATTGTTAACTAAATAGCATAAATTAAAATAAACTGTTTTTGTATTGAATACTTAAATGCTTATATTCAATAAATGCTTGACAACTCTCCATACGTACCTATCCATTTGGTACCAGAGAAAGAAACAATTTAAAGCATTCAAAATTTACTGGAGAAAATCAGAAATAAGGGGACCAAAGAATAGTTATTGTGAATCACAAGTATCTTGTGTAAATGTGCAAATATTCACAAAGTCATGTGCCAAAAAATGTGTGTTCATGAATTGAATTATTGTCCAATCAGCTAAATAATAGAGGTGCATTTCCAGCCTCTCTCCCCTCCCTTAACCCACAAGACGAAAATGATATTATAAGGAGGTAATAGTCAATTGCTTACAGTATTTGATTATTAAATTTCAGAAAATGGAGAAGACATGCAAGTATTAAGATATGAGCACGGGCAGAAATACGACCCTCATTATGACTACTTTTCTGATAAAGTTAATATTGCTCGGGGTGGACACAGAGTTGCTACAGTTCTCATGTATCTCTCTGATGTAACCAAAGGCGGTGAAACAGTGTTCCCTAATGCAGAGGTTTGTCTAGTATTTCACATATTTTCTTAGAAATAAAAAGTATAATGGTAGTAAGTCATTGCTGCTATTGTTCGTCAAATTATTTTGCATGACATCTCCATAATCATAATTGGCCTTATGCTCTAGCTCAGATCCTTATTTAGTTCTACATTTTTCATGTGTCAACCGAACACTGAAATAATCAATGTTTAAGTTACCCAAAAAGTCTTGCGATATTATATTTACCTCAAAGTTTCTTTCATATTTTCACTAGTTTCTCATAATTATTCTAACAATTAGACTAGAGACTTCGCAAAAGCTCTTGGTTTTAAAAGTTCATACTTGATTGGGACCTCCTTGGCATATACTCAAATCGGTACTAATATATATTTTGATCGTACTTGTAGAAGATACATGCTAAGTTTTTGAGAATGGAGGGTAGAGTAGACTAGGAGATGCAATAGTTTCTGCGATATCATATTCTGATTTTTTCCAGCCAGTGATCCCCCTATTTTGTCTCTCTTCTGGTTTTATCCAAGCCATGTATGTGGCAAGTTTCACAGCTGAAGAGTCTGAACATTCCTAGTTTTGGAAAGGAAATTGTTTCTACCTTTTTTATACATCTACTAGCTAGCTTCAGTATGATAACTTCATAATTCTGGTTACAGGAATTTCCACATCACCAAGGTTCTGAAACAAAGGATGATCTATCCGAGTGTGCCCAAAAGGGAATAGCAGGTGGACAATTGGACAAATAGTTATTTTCTTTTATGGTTTTTCTTCAGCATTAGTGTCTTATGGCACATTTGCTGCCTGTCAAATTATCTTAAATAATTATTTTGTTTCCTTCTCATCGTGGCAATTTACAGTGAAACCGCGAAGAGGGGATGCACTTCTTTTCTTTAGTCTCTTCCCAAATGCTATCCCAGACACTCGCAGTCTGCATGCAGGATGCCCTGTGGTTGAAGGTGAGAAATGGTCGGCAACAAAATGGATTCATGTTGACTCATTTGACAAGAAGGTTGGGTGCAGTGATCAGAATGAAAACTGTGAGAAATGGGCTACTCTCGGAGAATGCACTAGTAATCCCGAATATATGGTTGGATCTCCAGGTCTTCCTGGCTACTGCACGAAAAGTTGCAATGCATGTTAAAACAAGTGTACTGAATGCTTTCCCGATTTCACATGGTATTACGCTTTTTTTTTTTTTTTTGTGAATTGCAATGTATGCTGTCTTATTATATTGACTAGCTCTTAGATAGTGTTCTGGTGCATGGTCACCTTGAAGAGGTACATTCGTGAGTTGTGACGTTGTAATGGTAGATAATGCGGGATTCACCATTTTTTTGTCAGATACGTTTTGAATGTAAAACTACAAAAAGAAAAAGGAAGCATGCGGAAAAGCAGAATATTTTCCTATTTCCAAGTAGATTATGAATAAGAAGCCTAATTTCTGATGCAAAACATATAATTTTACTGAATTTTATATTGAAATTTTACTGTCTGTATCAAGAATCATTATAAATTTGTAGGAACAATTCGTTAACCTTAATTTTAGGAGAAGCATTTTTGTCAAAGATTCCGAACAAAGTAAAAGTAACTAAACAGTATAGGGTAGCGTTACATAAAATATATAAGAGGTCTTTATTAATGTGAAATGGTGAGCATTATCACTTACTGGCAACGATAAAGATAAGTTAATCGTAAGTTAATTAATCACAATTTACTTTAAAAAAATAATTATAAGAAAATTATGAAATAATTTTTCATGTTTTGAACACAATAACTGTTTATTCAACATTTTATCTAGGAAATATTAGAAAATAAAATGGAAAACATAACATCACTATTGTTAAAAAGTAGTAATTAAAATTTTTTCTTATGAACTAAAAAAATTGTTGTGAGCCAAGCTCCTCGATGATGTCTCATAATTTGTGTAGAAGTTGATTTATTGCTTCTTTGCTTAGCGTTCACCCATGTGAAATTAGATAAACTTGAGGCAAAAATATTTACTTATGAATTCGTGGTGATTATATTGGAAAACGTGGATCAGGATTCAGATCCAAACAAGTTATTAGATTACCAATCTTTTCTCAAAAAGTGTGTCATATTAGAATAATTGAAAATTGTAAAGGTACTCTGTTGTTTTGTTCATCAAACTGCGTCTTTATAACTCATTCTCTTACCAGGTCAATTAAAGTTTAATGATTATGTCTTGTATGGTTAAAAGAATACACGTGACGAATAAAGTTACAGATTTGGTTTATCGGTATGAAAAATCACGGTAGCTTTTTTCTGCCTTTTTCGTGATAACTTGAGGCACGCGCATGGATATTTTAAGCAACAAATTTGATGGCATGTTTTGTGGGTGTTAGGATGTGAATGGATATGGATGGTGATTTATTAGAAGTTGTTTTTGGAAATATTTAAGAGTTAAAGCATGGTATTGTATTATGGATGTGATGACAAAAGCAAAGTGCTGTGGAAAGTATAGGAGAGAATAATGGAAGAGGAAATGTTGAATGGATGATAAGGACAGTTGGTTTGTGAAGGAGTATACAACGGTGAGGTTGGCAAAGGGAAAGGATGACAAAGAATGGTGTCAAATCAGAGAGATGAGAAAGATGACATGTTTTGTGGTCCTGGTTTTCCAGATAGATGCTGCTTAGCCCAACCTCCAAAGAGATGCATTGCACCTACCAACTCATTCCTACCCTCACAATTTTCATTCTTTTTTTCTTCCCTCTTCTTCTTTGCTCATGCCAATATCTTCACTTCCCTGGGGACCAACCATTCATGTACTGTAAAATTCTTATTCTATATCATTAAATACCAAAACTCCTCAAATCACTCATCTTTTAAAACAGAATGATGCAAACATCAATTTCATAACAATTATCAAATTTTAGTTTTATTAAAATATTTTAAGGTAAATCAATACAACTAGTTACAAATTTTTAGTTTTTTTTTTACAGCTTTCAAATTTTAGAGTTGATTCTTATTTATGTTATGAATATAAATTTGATTCTCATTAACGTTACTATATTATTTGATAAATACGTTTCTTTCAACAAGATCCCTCAACATAAATTAATTTAATTTTTATCTCGTGAACATTGTAATAGTTAAATAATAGTAACGCTTAAAATAAATTGTATGATTTTTTTAATTACTCATTTTATATTCTATAGTTAAATAAATTTTTATTTTAATCTCTTAAGAATAGGAGTTTTAAAAATAGTCAGTTTAATTTATCTACTTTTTTGTAAGTAAAAGATTATGCAATCAACTTAATTGATTGTGGGTTAGATGAGATTACTAATTTAAATATTTGTTTTGTTATTTAATAATTTTTAAAATATTTAAATAATGTGAGTTAGGTGAGTTCATTTAAAGAATACTTTTCACAAATTTATACTTGATAAATTATATTATTAAAGATCAAAATAAAAATGGATAAAGTCATCAAGAATTTTATTTGAATTTGTTTTATTCATGAGTAAAATTAATTTGATTGGTTTGAATTATTTTTTCATTTTATAATCAACCTAGATTTTTTTCATTTTATAATCAATTTAAATTATAACCAGCGAAATTGAAACTCAAACATTTCTATTTTACACCTAATTTATTTTAGTTATTATAAGTTTTTTTTTAAATAATTTTTAGTCTCTATGTTAATGTTGAGATAAGTTTTATCACTGTGGTAGAATTTATGTCCAAAAGAGAAACCATGTTTCTTTATAGCATACGTGTGTGGTGTATGTTCACAATGAAAATAAAATTTTAATTTAGTATTGCAATTAACAAATAATTTATCAGTTTTATTGTCACCGTTTATAGAAACGTTTCTTATAACACTACGACTCATACATCCACGATGAAAACAATAAATAGACACAGTAAAAATATTTACCACTCATTTATTATTGTTTATTTGGTGTTAAGTCTTACATTGATGAAGAAATTATTTCTTAAAATTTATTTATCGTCCTAAGGTACATAAGAGAAAATAAAATAAAATAAAAAGTAAAAAATCTGTATAAGGTGTAATAACTAAAATAAATGTATTATAGAGTGAGATAATATATATTTATAATAATAATAAAGTTAAAGAGTAAAATAATATACAAAATAAAAAAAATGTAAAAATACAAATTTACTATAGAAATATTCTGTTAAGATTATTTAAAAGGAAAAAAAAGTTAAAATGATAAATTAAAATGAAAATTTGTTAAACACGAGGACTAAAATATAAAAATTTAAATGTCTCTCTAAAATAAATGAGTAATTATTTTTAAAATATATAATCTGTTGTATAAACTTTGTAAATATGTTGATTTTTTTAACTTATAATATTAATATTAAGTAATTCAAATTGGATAACTAATCTGTTTAAACTCGTAATATGCGAAACATATTGTTTTCCTTATTACCTCAAGTTCCTGTAAAATTGTTTTTATCTCATGATTAGAGTTGTAAATTCTTCTATAAACCTAAATAATAATATATAAAAATACTTGAGAAGGATAAAATATATATTAAAATTTGAATTTACTAAAAAATATTTATAAATTATAAAATTGGAGAAAATATTAAAAAATATTCAGGTGGATAAATGGGTTACATGTAAGTTCGCATTCAAATGAGTTAACCGTAATCAGTTTTTAGTTAATGAAAATTCTGAGTCAAACCAGCCATAAAGAACTTGTGCTTGTTTTCATTAATAAAAACAATGTGCATAATACTTTTATTTCTAGAATCATGTTTCATGAGAATGTCTAAAAATAATGGTGAGAATGAGAAACACAATGGTATTTTTATATTAAAAAAAACTTTTTTATTTATGAAAATTTAGGATTCCCGTTCCATCCCCTCCCAAGAAAGAAATCTGCTGCAAAACATAGTAAAAAAAAAAGAGATTCTAAAGAATGTTAGATTTTTTGTAATAATGATTTTAGAGTTGTCCTACAAACAAAACATAAGATGAGAAGATTGATTAGTGTGGAGAAGAGAAGGATAGAGTGGAAGGAATGAATGATATAAATAAGAGTGGAAGGAATGAATGATATAAATAAGAGTGGAAGTGGGGTCAAATGGTGCAGAGCAAAGAAAGCAAAGCACAAGCCAGAGAAGAGAAGAGAAGAGAGGAATAAAATCCCTTGCCCCCGGGGCCATCCAGTGTGAGCAGCAGACACCAACACCCAAACCTTAAAATATTTTGCCCCTCTCTCTCTCAAGGTACTATCCCCGTTATTTCATTCACCAATAATAAATACATAAAAACATTGGCTCACTCACTCATTCACTGCTTCTTCTGTAACACAACATAATATAACATAACACTCACCACACTTACTGTTTTGTATTGTGTGACAGACAACAGAGGAACACGCCCAATAAACCATGGACGTGGGTCAGATGCAGAGACAGTGGATCGACTACACCAAATCCCTTTTCCTCGAGGTAGCCCCTCCACTCCCCACACAAACACCTTGTCTTTCTCTTCTTTTATTCTCTTTTCATCGTTTTTTAATTGGTAGTATAGATCTGTTGTTGGGTTGCTTTCAATTCTTGATTTTTTTGTTTTCTTTTGATGGTGAGAGAAGGGGTTCCTGGATGGTCAGTTTCTGCAACTTCAGCAGCTTCAAGATGAGAACAACCCTGACTTTGTCGTCGAAGTCGTCTCTCTCTTTTTCGAAGATTCTGAAAGGCTTCTCAAAGATCTCACCTTTGCCCTGTCAGTACCATTTCCTTCCATGCCCAATTTTCTTTTAATAAACCAGAGTTAAAAATGGACCAGGAACGTAAAAAAGGCAACTTCCGAAGGTTTACAATTTTTTTAGTTACATTTTATTTTATTATTATAATTTTAATATAACGGTCGGACTTCATGCTGTCAGCTTTTGTGACTGCGGAAAATCTACACTTGGTTGGGAATGCACTGACTGGATTAATGTGTTAAAAACTATCTGCTATGATCCTTGTTAGTATTGTTTTATGATTAGCGATGTCTTTGGAGAAGTGCATGATCTTCCATGTTCTTGGGGTTTTTTCTGTGCAGAAATCAGAATGGTGTTGACTTCAAAAAAGTTGATGCTCATGTTCACCAGCTAAAGGGTAGCAGTTCAAGGTATGGAATTTTATTAAATGCCAACCAAAAATGTAAAATACCATGGAATCCGAATAAGTTAGACTTTTTGTGCCATTAAGTTGTGTTGGTTTGGATCTGTCCATCCAATGCTTGTGTAAATTGCTCCTATACAAGTAGAGTTTTATTCTTTAGTACTCGTAATAAAAGGACTAATCAAGCTTAATTAGGAGAAACTAGTGCTATACCATGCTGTCTTTTCTAGGTATGCTGAGGCAAATTTGTTTTTGTTTGTCTGGTCCACAGCATAGGCGCACAAAGGGTGAAAAATGCCTGCATTGCTTTCCGCAACTTCTGTGAGGAGCAGAACACTGATGCGTGAGTTGTTAATCTTCAGAAAGTTGTTTAATAGTTTTGGCTTTTTGAAGGATAAGTGCACAAGTTTGAATGAATAAGCTACTTGTGCTTAAAATGCTTAAGTGTTCTAGTTTGGCTAATTTCATGGTCCGATAATGAAAAATTTCTGATTACTGCAGGTGCCTCAGATGTCTGCAACAAGTGAAGCAAGAGTACTGCCTTGTCAAGAATAAGCTTGAAACGTTGTTCGGGGTATTGACTAGATAAAAAACTTAAACTGAATAGTATTCTATTTACATTCTGGATCTGTCATTTATTATTTCTTTTATGGATTCTTGATGCAGCTTGAGCAACAGATTGTGGCAGCTGGTGGGTCAATCCCTACGGAACTGAGTTTCAGTGGGTGACTAGGCGGTTTGTAGAGATGCTTGTATTAGGCACCTCTTCTTCGTTAATGGTTGTCCTTTATCTAATGTCCATGGTGAATGTATGGGTTTTGTGAAGATATAAGTGTCCATCCAATGTACCTTTTTCTTCACCAAAAAGCTCTTTTCATAATTTGTAATCCCTTGCATGCTTTAATGAAGATGATATCACCATTAAATGAACTTTGTCTCTTGTATTTATCTTCCAAACAAGAAAGAAAATTAGTGGTTAGAACACAATCCAATCTAGTTATACTCTAGATGAACATCTGAATAACAAATGCAACAATGGTAAGAATGCCTTAATGGTATAAACACTTATATCACACCTTCAATTTCTCTACATCTTTCGCCATTATTTATATCATATTGGTATAACCTGTTACATTAATAATTCTTTCTATTTCAAGATATAATCCATCATTGGATGTAAACAAAATTTTACTCTGGATATGTTTGGCCAAGGGGAATGATACATGATTCTTTGTTAGACTTACCTAAAATAAGATGGGGTGGAGTAGTGGTAGTGGTGGCTTTAAACGGCAAATGTCCTATAGATGACATTATTTGGTGTGAAAGAATATAGTGGTACAAGCCAGTTGTCACCCCTTGGTTTAGAGAAGTAGGGTTACAAGCTAATGGAGTTGTAAAGTCACTTTATTTTGGAATAAGAAACTGGCAAGGACGGCAAAAAATTATTATAAATTGGTGTGGAAGATAAGAGAATCTTGAGAGGATATGATTCTTTACAAGTCAAATCATGATGTAGTGGCGTTGTCCCTTTTTGTCTACTCCTTAATGGAGTAAATCACAAAAGAAATGAATGCCCAACATGGCCACAGGCCACAGCACCAAGCATTATCGTTTTTGAATTTTGATGTTGATATTCGTAGGATGCCTTTCCGCAAGATAAGATATGCTAAACCCCACATTGGTGTCGACTAACCAATGCCACTCTCACGCACATGAATGAAACATGACAAATAAATGGCCACGTACATACCAGCCATACATATATACATACTATATGATAGCTTATTATGCTCCTTCTTCATGTTTAAGACATAATTTTACTGAATTTATAATGTATTGCAATACATTGTTTCATCCAAGGTTGATGCAAATATCTTGTAGGAATATAAATGGTAATTACAAGAGAACAGCCAAAATGAGTATAGGTTAATCTGTTGTATCCTAAGTTGCTTTTATTTGTTCTTTTCCTATGTGACACTTGAAAGTGTAAATTAAAGCTTGAAGAATACGAACCACACAAAAAAAACTATATGTAAAGAATAAGAAAGGATGCCCTTGTTTTAACAGGGAATCATGAACAAGTGCCCTCTATCTTTTATCATGAGGAATGTGGATGACTCCATTTCCTTCTCTGATCTTCAAAGCTTCCTACCTTAGCCGATTGGTTCCAGTCACCAAGCCTGTTTGCATACATCTCATGATATGCCTTGACTTTCACACGACTTAAAATTCTGACTAATTTTCCATCTTCCTCATCCACCACCATTTCTCCATCAATGGACACATCTCCTTGGGCCAAGACTTTAACGGCCTTCACTTCAAATTTTTCAGTTAGACTTGAATTGTTGTCAGCTAGGACAACAGCACCTAGTATTTCTCCTAAGAATATATCCTACAACATTTGTAAACACAATGTAAGTAGCAGAAACAATATAGAAAACCAAATGATAATAGTAGCACAGTATCTATCATATAATATAGAGATTAAACTCAATATATTGAGTAAATAGAGTGCACATTGACCGTGTAATTTGTTTATATTGTGATTCAATCTCAAATTAATATTAAGGACGAATGTGCTGATTTTTGTGAAAGCAACTTTAGAAGTTATTTTTACACTGCATTTTATAAAAACCAAATTCAACCTACAGAGTAAATAGTATTTGTAGTGTAAAGGGTTATTCATTCAATAATTGACCTCTGAAAAAAAGTGTTGACTTTTAAAATAACTTCATAGGAAGTCATACTTATCATAATATATGGTTGGTTGATAACATTTTTTCATTTGCAGTACATGAAAGTTAAACTTGAAACCTGTATGTTCTTTTATGATATTATCTTAAATGATTCTAGAAAGCTGATTCAATTTCCTTTAGTTCCAGTTTCAAAACATAAAGTTATAACATTGCAGTTATACCATATGCTGATATCTGTGGTGGCTTTGCTTCAGACGTTGTAGCCTTAATAGCACACGCTTGGAAAATACAACTTCAGGTGTTTGTTCTATCCTACGCAACCAACATAAAATGTGTGAAAACGAACTTGCTTTATGTTGGACATTGAGTGGAATGAGAGTGATGTTAAGTTGTGATTGAAACACTATCTTGGCTGCTAAAGGATCTAGGAACATATTAAATTCTGCATATTGGTTGGAAGGAACAGAAAATACATTTCCTTTGTCATACACATTCTTGCTGATGTGTCCCCCCACTACATAAACCTCCTGAAACATTTAAAATTGTTTTGTTATGTCATTACTGCAAATTATAATCATCCTAGCTACAAATTTTCCTTTGACATGACAGGATGCCAAGGCAAAATGAAGTTAAAATATTCAATTTTAGAATTTACTTTGGACTAGTATATCTAAGTTTCATGACAGGTAAAATTCCACTTTCCATATAATCCAATGTTCTTGTTTGTTTTCATAAAATTGTAGCCTAATTACATCCATGTGCGTGCCTTCAACATGTCTTGTGTGAAACAAGATAATTTTCTTTTAAAGGTATATCTGGTTCATTTATTGGTTTTCTTCTATTAAAAACTGTTACAATTTAAATCTTAATAAAATTAAATGAACTATAAATTCTTTTAAAGATTTTCTACTTGAAGTTACTAACTAAAAAATACTTTTTATTAAAAAATAGAATTAAACTTTCCCTATTCAAACCCTACTATCACAATGCATAAAATCCACCAAACTTGATCTAGATTTCTTCAAGAAGAAGAAACCAAATTTCTAAAATTTAACAATAAAAGTTTTAGTTGAGTTGAAATCATGTAGATTACTATTAATCTAATATGATTGTAAAATAGAACTAACCTCAATTCTTGAGCTTATGTTTTCTAGTGATACAACCTTTGCCAAAGTAGTCAAGGGTCCATTGGTTAATACTGTAATTTTGGATCCAGGTTCCATTGTTTGCAGCACAGATTCCCAAATTTCCATAGCCAATGGTTGTCTGAGATTAAGGTGATCAGTGTCTTGAGGGGGCTCAAACTTCATAGAATCTATAGGTGTATACCTAATCAAATACATGTCAAACTGTGAACATGTAACCTTCTGCATCATAAGGTAAGAAAATGAGTAGAAAAGCACCTTTTGGGACTACGGGGCAAGTGACGAGCAAATCCATAAAGAGTGTCAGAGTCCAAAAGTCCACCACTCCCATGGGGAATGGCTTTGGCATACTTGCAATCTCCAACTAGTGGGAGTGTTGGGTTTGATTCATTCATCGCAAAAACATCACCTAAACCAACTGGGATATCATCACGACCCATCATGTGTAGTAAGTCATAGATGACATCTATTGTTGCAGCATTTGCCCACCCAGTTGGGCTCACAATTATTGCCTGAACCAAAAGCCAATATGTGAGTTTTTCATGTCCTTTTTATTGAGTTCTGCAAAACAAAAGTGTAATCCATCACATAAATCTTTTGCTTTAAGTGTCATACAACAAGTAACATGATTCTTCTGTGACCACATTTTTCTGTGTCAATCTTTATGTTAATAAGGAACACCTAAAATGAATGAAATAACAATTCAAATACCTTCAGATTTATCACTTCAACATCAACTTTAAGGAGGTAAAATAGAGCAAGAAAATCCCCTACACTCATGTCCATATCAAACACAACAGGTTTTCCTAGTGTTTTGTTTTGAAAATCTGGCATGTAGGTTACTTCTTTGTAGTGAGGAAACTGTGTAGTGAAGTTGAACTTTCCAGCATTCTGTCGTTGCTTTAGAACCTGTCAACCACCGTAATTAAAGCAAAATTCAGATACTCATATTAATTAAGATTTATCTAAAGTGACTACTGCCCTTTAGAGTTGTTAATTAGAACATGAACAGTTTGAAATTGTGACAATATCAACTTCAAATACTATTAAATCTAAAATTAATTACAATTCTACTAATAATTAATTAGTGATTTTTTTTACATAAATATCATATTATACTACTAAGAAAAAATAGTGATGGAGTTTTGTTAGATGAAATTTTTAATGGATTTATAAATTTTCTTAAATATGTTTAATTAAGTTTATTTCTAATTATATTTTCCGTTGTTAAATATTTTGTCACATCAAAAAATTGTAGATATAATTTAATGATTTTTGTGACAGAAAATATTTGTTACTATTTTTTTCATTACAAAGTTGGTTGCAAAATAAATTTGAAATTATTTGTGACCTTTTTTTCCGCTAGATATTTGATCGTCTCAAATTCTCCGTTCAGATATATAAATCATAACTTTTGTGAAGAATTTTTCATCCATTTAGTAACTTTCGTAAATTATTGACATTATTTAATTTTTTGAAATATTAAAAAATTCATTTTATAAATTAAACTATTTATTTATTTAAACTATTTTTTATAATTTTATATTTTATCTCTCTCTAATTTACAATTCAATTATCCTGATAGTTATAATTTACTATTTTATATTTTTCTACTCCATTATTCCCCTCCATCATTTCCAACGTGCTTAATACTGCGTAGAAACTTTGGTAATTCAATGTAATTCAAGTTATTTAAAGAATAACTGAAATAAAAAAAATCGTTTTGAAGTCATTATTTTCTTCAAACCTAACGGTCAAATTAACACAAAAAGTTATATGATTTCATGTATAATTATGTCATATTTTTTCATGAAGATATACTTGATTTATATCGTTTTCAAGTATATAAACTTTTTTCTTTTTAATTTAATATAATTTTATTATTTTA